CCTTATGGCTCTGATAGCATAGTGGCTAAGGCACTTGACTGCTAACCAGAAGGCTGGCGGTTCAAACCCACCAGCCACTCCTCGGAAGGAAGGTGGGGCAATCTATTTCCATAGCGATACTGCCTCGGAAACCCAAGGAGGGGGTCGCTATGAGTCGGGTCCGACTCGACGGCACATAACAATAACAACAACATGGCTGCCTAGATGATGCAAACTGTTAAGCAGTTTGCTGCTAATCAAAAGGTTGGCGGTTCAAATCCACCCAAAGATGCCTCAGAAGACAAGCCTAGCAATATACTTTGGAAAGAGCATAGGTATTGAAAGCTGTATGGGGTGCAGTTCTGCTCTGAACCACATGGGGTCATCATGAGATGGAATGAGTGTGACAGCAACTGGTTACCTTCCCAAATTACAGAAAAAATCCAAAGTGATTTACTCCTATCTTGTGGCTTTTAATATCATCTGCCCTGTTGGGATCAGGATTTTCCTGTTTTCCTGTTTCCAAGTGGAGCAAAATCCCCTGGAATAACACTTTTCACCCCCACTGAATGCAGTCCTCTCCAGGGAAGAAGAGGTGAATTAGCGTGATGATGATTTGGGGAGCAGCGGCCAGGCAAGCAGAGACATCTGGATGCCTCGCGCTCCCCCTTTCTTCGCATCTGCCCAACATTAGGGAAGGGGCCTCTGGTGCAGGGATCAAGCACTCGGCTGCCAACCAAAAGTCACCAGTTCCAATCCACCAGCTGCTCTGTGGGTGAAAATACCTGGAGATCTACTCCTGTAGAGAGGCCAGCCTGGGAAACCCTCCGGGGCAGTCTGTCTCTGTCATATAGAGTCTCTGTGAGTCTGAAATGAGAGGTTATGCAAACAGTTCGCACTCAGCTGAACACTGGTGCTTGGAGCATCACAGAAGACAGCCCTGGTGATCTGCTTCCTTAAAGATTACAGTGTGTGTGGGGAGGGGGGACCCTAAGGATCTCAGTTCTACTCTGTCACACTCAGGGTCTCCAGGAGTTAGAATGAACTCAACAGTCCATATTCTTATCTAGCAGTGTGCTGGTAAATGGTTAACAACTGGCTTTCCAGGAAGGATAAAACATAATTTGTAGCTTTTGCCAATTCCTGTAGTGTAAACACTACTACCATAGCTATTTCAAGCTACCAACATTACGTTGACTTGCACTGAAAATTTGTCAGCTCTCACAAGCCTATATAAGCCAGCTCCAGCAAACCACTGTATAAACTATGCATTGCTTTTTAAGACTCACAGCGTTGCCCTCTTTGATACTCTTGGGATGTATAGTGTACGCTTCTCTTCTCACCAGACTTCAGTGTTGGCATCTGCCCCTCACATTCCAAAGTCATCCCCAATCTCTGTAGCTTAGAGGCTTTTGCTTGCACCCTCTTCCTACCCTCAGCCTCTTTCCTCTTCAGCGAGCTAATTCCCAGTCATTTGTATACACAAAATTTATTTTTGTTGTTGTTAAAAATATGCTCCTGAGAAATATGCCAATCCAACAATTTCTACAGGCACAATTAACTGACATGAAGGACATTCTTCAAGCTGTGCCACCATCCTCATCCTCCTTCTCTGAATCATTCCGTCCCCATTAACATGACCTCTATCTCCAAAGCTGCCTACCTAATCTTGCGAGGTACTGTTCTTAATCTATCCCATACAGATAGTTCCTTTTTCAAAAAAAAAAGCA